GGGGTTTGAATGCTGCTTCAGGTAGTGCTTCGCCTTTAGAAAAACCAATAGCTTCTATGTTGAAGGTAAATGCAGCACGCCCTCTTCCTCTACCTGCCCCAGCCATTTGAAGTTACTGAAAATATTATACATTTTTAATATTTCTGGTGCATCACACAAAATATAGCCACAAATAAAATGAGAAAAAAATAAAAAAGCTAAGAAATGAATTTAAAATAGCAGCAGATATACAAGTTGATCACATTTTTTTTTTCTTTTTGTTTGTGCCTAGGACTCCTACTGAGCTTACAAGCTACAAATGCGGTCTTGTGACACAAACAGCAGTATTTTTTTTAATTGAGTGGATGGATTAATTCTTTAGATAGTGTGAGTCTACCAAATCCAATTTATAAAAATGAAAACAAAGAGATGCTTTTCATCTTTACATTTCAGTGATTTAATTTTAACAGCACATGCTAACTTTCAATGTAAATACACAAACACTCCTTTCATCCTTTCAACCCATACCAGTACCTGAAGAAGCTTCGATTTTTCTGGTTTGGGTACTGAAACATACGTGCCAAATACTGCTGTCCTTACTCAAGCAATGTTCCCATTGAAGTCAATGGGAGTTTTGTCTAAAAGCTGCAAATTTAATGCATACCACATAGGGAAGAACAGGTTCTGGACTAAACATCTAAAGAGGCACTGTCCATGCAGAGCAGCCCTATAAGAATACAAAACCTGGAAGTGAGCATTTTTAGGTAGGCAATTTGTAGGCGATATTTTCTTGAGTTCTATACCCACTTGTGCTGCCAAGCCTCCACAACCCTGGGCATAGCAGCCTGCACAGGTCCCCCCTCCCTGTCCCTTAGGGCCCACGGGAGGGGCAGCAATGCAGCAGGACAGGCCGCGGCCCAAACAGGCAAAGACGCCTGTTCGGGCCACTCAGTTAACCAAGATATTTTGTTATCCGGCACCCTCCATTCCACATGGGTGCCGGATAACAGAGCTTTTACTGTATATAGGTCCAAAGATGGCTAATGAGGCAAATCTGGGATCAACAGATTCTGTTGCAACTTGGGCATGTGGTTCCATGTGTGGTGGGTGGATCTGGATTCTTGATTCAGTCCATGACACACTGTTTCTGCTGCTCCCGCTTCTCCATCTCTTGTCATCATCATAAGGTTTCAAAGTACTGAGATCCTAGCAGCAGACTCTTCCTCCACTTGGGGCAGTCCTGGGCAATAGTCTCCCACCAGTTGATGTCAATGTTAAATTTTTTCAAGTTGGTCTTGAAGACATCCTTGAAGCACTTTCTTTGCTCTCCTCTTGAGCATATGCCTCAAGTGAGCTGGGAAAATAAAACCTGCTTTGGGAGTCCAGAGTTGGACATCTGAATAATGTGGCCAGCCTACTGAAGCTGATGTTAGATGATCACGCCTCGATGCTTGTGGTGGTGTTTGTTTGTGAGACGACACTAATGTTGGTGAGTCTATTATCCCACTGGATTTGAAGGATCTTCTGCAGGCAGCATTGATGATATTTTTCCAGCGATTTTAAGTATCTCCTGTACATTGTCCATGTCTCAGCTCTGAACAGTATGGTGGGGATCATAACTGTTTGATAAACCATGAGCTTGGTTTTGGATCTGATGTCATGATCTTCAAACACCATGTCCTCATGTGTCCAAAGGCTACACTTGCACTTTTAAGGCTATGTCGGATTTCTTTGTCAATATCAGCCTTCTGTGAGAGAAAGCTTCCAAGGTACAGGAAACACTCAATTTTCTGTAAATCTGAATTACCAGAGTTGGAGACTGCTCATTAAGAGCTTGTTGATGGAGGACCTTATTCTTCTGAATGTAAGCATCAGTCCCATTTTCTTGTATGCCTCTGTAAAGATGTTGATGATTTCCTGAAGGTCTGCTTCCAAGTGAGCACAGATTACCACAGCATCAGCATACTGGAGTTTAATTACTGAGGTTGGGGTGGTCTTGGTTTTGGCTCAAAGTCGGCCGAGATTAAAAAGCTTGCCATTCATTACGTAGTTTAGCTCCACTCCAACTGGAAGCTTGTTGGTGGTCGGATGTAGCATCACAGTAAGGAATACTGAGAAGACTGTTGGAGCGATGACATAGCCTTGCTTAACTCCTATCTTAACATCAAAGGAATCTGTGCGTGAAAGATCCATTACTGAGAACGACCATGTGCATATCATCATGAGGCAGGCAAAGAATGGAGATGAATTTTGGTGGGCATCCATACTCCAGAAGGATCTTCCAGAGCATTTCTCAGCTGACAAGAGTTAAAGGCTTTCATGAGGTCAAAGGCAACCATGGAGAAAAATTTATGTTGTTCCCAGAATTTTTTATGCAGCTGGCAAGCAGTGAAGATCATGTCGGTTGTAGCTGTTGATGCCTTGAACCCACACTGAGATTCTGGGATGAGCTCTTCAGCAAGTGGAAGGAGATATTTCAGGAGGGTTTGCACAATGATTTTTCCTGTGGTAGACAGCAAAGTGATCCTTCGGTAAATTTCCACAGTTGGACCTGCCTGCGTTCTTGAAGACTGTCATGATCATGGCACCCCTAAGGTCATCTGGGATTTCCTCATCATTCCTGATCCTTAAGATGAGGGCATGGAGCTGTGATGTGAGCTTCTTCCCCCCCTCCCCACCAGCTTGTTTAACAAGTTAAACCATTATATTATTAGCTCCATAATAGAAAATAGAAAATAATTAAATTTATTACCAAACAAAAAAAGCAAAGACAACATATACAATTTAAATAATGGACAAAGCTATCTGAAACCATAAAAGAGCACTATAGAAAGATAAAATGCATGCTAATTGAAAACACTTGGCTAAATAATATACCTAGCAGATGCTGGGATAAATTGTGAGGAGAAAAGTAAAAAAGTCAGTTACTAAAAGGAAAAATATTTCAGCTCCCTGAATGTTATTAAATGTTCTCCAACAGTAGAATGTCAGTCATAACAAATAAATCTAAGACAAAGTAGGAAAAAAGGACAGTCAAAGAAGCTGGTATATATCATGGCATTTTAGTAAGGCAAGATTTTCTAATCCTTCGTTACCCAGATATTTGACAAAACACAGTTAACACTTATTCATGCCAGTACAACAAAGCCCTACTCCTGCAATGTATTCAGTGGCCATCTTCACAGGCATGGAATTCTTCTCCTTGGCAAGACAAAATTGCAGGGTCATAGCCCAAGAGCATGTACTTTTGATATAGTATCTATTTTTCTGGTCTGGTCTCTTCACCTTTCATTATAGACCAACTACCTGATCTAGAATAAGGCTCAAATTCTCTTCTTTGACTGATCAGTCTCAGACATTAAAGCACTATAGCTGAAATAAAACTAATGGGCACTTTTACATGTGCTCCAGGGGTGGGGGATGGGGAACAGAAGTTCCATCACTGTTGTGTGACAAAGATCTGATCATTTAAACTCCTAAAAGGTTAACTCCAAATGCTTTAAAAATAATCTTCTGAATCAGTAGAGATGCTTAGATATTACAAATACTGTATGCGGCCCATATAACAACCCTGCTAGAGAGCAGAGTAGAACATCTGACATGACACTGGCATCACAAAACAGAGGCTTCAAATAACCCATCCTTAAGTAAGTTATCCTTTATAACAAAATCTCTCTTGATTATTTTCAACCTTAAAATGAATTTTCAGGGCGGGTGGTTTTGGTGGGGGCAAGGGGTGATATCAGAGAAAGAAAGGTAGATTTTAGAGGTTTAAAATTATACAAACAAAGAAAAAATACCTGATGCCCTTGAGGGTTAAGCCAGCATGAAAAATATTTGTGGTGCCACAGTCCCCTACAATTTAAAGGAATAAACTGTTATGTACTATTTATATTTACAGCCTGTTCCTTCTCTTTGTGTTAAGTCTCCCTCCACTCCCCTATACTTCATTTATTTATTTGATTTCTATGCCACTGCCCTCCCCACAAAAGCTCAGGGCAACTTACAAAGACAGTCATAAAAATTGATCAAGCAAAACAATTCCCCAAATAATACACACAGCTGAACGCCACCTGCTAAATTCTTGTCCAAATGAAAAAGATCCTATGCCACCTTTAAATGGAGGCAGACTCTAGAGGCCTCAAGGGAGAGAAAGCTCCAGAGCTGAAGAGCAACATCTGAGAATGATCTCCCATGTGTTTTGGCCAAGCAGACTTGATGTGCTGATGGTACTTGCAAGAGGCTATTCTTGGCTGACTTTAGGGATCATAATGGTCTTACCTACCTTAGGTATATAGGACTCAGGACATTTAGGGCTTTATAGGTCATGACCAGCACCTCAGATTGCACTCAGAAAACTACAGGAAGCCAGTACTAACTCTGGAAGTATGGGAGTAATGTGCTCCTGGGGACCCAGCCATGTCTGAAAGCAGGCCACTGTATTCTGCACCAGTTGCAGCTTCCGGATGGTCCTTAAAGCCAATCCCACATAGAGTGCCTTAAAGTATTAATCTAGCCTCAAGGTTACAAAAGCATGGGTAATGGTGGCCAGATATGAATCTGAAAGATAGAGCAAGCAGCTTTCACACCTGATGGAGCTGGTGAAAGGTGACTGCCACTATCTCCTCTCCTCCAGTTTCTGTTTGTTCCATACTCATCCCACCCACATACACCAATACCTGCTTTATCCAAACACCTCCTCTTATCAAGTCTCTCACACCTGGCTTGAAAAAAATTAGCAAAAATTTATTAAGGGGACAACATGAAAATGAAACATGCCATTGTCCACGTAAAAAGCTTCGTCACCAAGCCCGGTGGGGGGCGGGGGGTAGGACAGGACACGGACAGCTTGGATTGTGGTCCCTAGCTATACACAGATCCAGGATTTTGTAAAGAGGGGTGTGGGACCAGCGACTGGCACTAGAGGGGTGGCTGTACCCTGGGTAGGACACACGGTGGGAAGAGCAGCTAAGGACTTTTTCTTAAGTCCCCAAATCAGGTAAGAATCTTGCCTCCCCCCACCCACTTTTGGCATCCCCTCCCTTTACCTGTGCTTAGCAGCACCTCTCCTGCCTTCCCATTCCTTCCCCCCTCAAGCTGCTGCTATCCCCAGCTGACCTTGGGGACAAGGGGAGCTCCAGAGCTGTTCCTGCCCCACTCCAATTGTGCTCAGCCAGACACAGTGGCAGTGGACAGGTTCTCTCTCTGTGCATGGTCCCCTAAGTGTTCCCTGCTAACTCAGGAACAAGCTAAGGGGTGGGGGGGAACCCACCCACCACCACTGCTGCTGTTCCCTGCTGAGCCCGACTTTCATGTAGCCTGGCTAGAATGGGGCAGGAGAGGTTCTGGAGCTTCTCCTATTCCCGGATAGTAGCAGGCAGGGAAGAAGGGGAATGGGGTGAAGTGGACATACCACTAAGCATGGAGGG